TTATAATAAATATTTATTTTATTTAAATGTTGTATGACATAAAAAAATTTATTACATTAATTTTTGTATTTTGCTACATTTAAATACATCGCAATTCAATCGTTTTATTGCTTTAAATATTTCTCCAAGTCCACTCTTCGATGCAAGATCCGGTGGCGTTCTGAAAAGTCAACGAACGTTTAATTAATTTTATCAAGACAATCACACAACTTTTCCTACTCTAAAGCGATATTGAAAAGCATTCGATGCATGGGATCTGCTTTAACTTTTCTCCCTTGCAAAGCAACTTCACAGAAAAATCGATCTTCACATGTTCCTTCCAGCTTCTCTCCATTCTGCTGATATTTCTTCTTAAATTCTAAATCCATCATTTGTAAGAAATTCGTCAACATTGCGTCAATTTCTTGAGGACTCAAGTTGGCAGCATGACTCAAACCACGATGTGCCATTTGTTGAAACAAAGATGCTTTGGGAATCGGTCGATTAGGAAGCTGTGCCATGAATTGTTGTTGATTTGGAATTGGAAAAGGCATCTGAAGTGGGCTGTTAGATAAAAGAAGAAGTTTCATAAATGTTAAAAACTCCATAAATTGAAGCATTTCAAAATAATTTGTCACATCATTTTACTTCAACCTTAAGTGAAAAGAGCGTAAAATTTCGTAACTTTCAAATCGCATTGCATAATGAATGATTTAAAACAATTCAAAAAAAGCTTACGCGCTTGCATTTGGATGAATGTAAAGAACTCGCGGCGTCAATTGTGCTACTGTAAATAAAAGCGTGTTAAGGAACTCATTATTAGAGTCGGTGAAAGGAACGAAAGCAAGTTTAATGTCTTTCTTTCTTTGCGATTACTCAACTGAGAGCACCAATTGGAATTGCAGCTGCAGCCATGCCTAAAATACTTATCCAAGGTGGAATTCTAATGAAGTAGAAAACTTTGTTAGTGAATTAATTTTAATTTAACAATTCCATCTTACACTGTCAGCTTATTGTAATAAGGTTTCTTTTCATTAGATTTTCCACCTTCTTCTTCATCTTTCTCATCTGATTTTCCATCCGATTCTTGTTTTCCTTCAGGTTTAAATGTGATGTCATGATCTGTCGGCCAACTTTCTGGAAGTGTCGATGGTGGTGAATGATCATGAGAATTCCAATAATGATGAAAATGTGTGTTAGTATGAAGTTCGCTTGGTGGCTTCCAATTGTCAAGATCTGAATCAAGAGTTTTAGTTTCATAACTATGTGGTGTTGGTGGTCTTGATGAAGCTTTCTCATCTCCAGACATCCATTTCCAAATGCTTTTCGGTAACCATGATGGTTGATTAGCATCAGTTGAATGAGCATGACTTTGGTAATGTGATTCACCACTTGTGGTTCTTCCTTCAACAGGAAAGACAACTTTGTTATGAGCTGGTGATGGCTGATGAGATGGCGGATTTAACTGATTGCTTGGAAAAGAAAAAGGAAAACTCCGAATTGGACTTCTTTGTTGTGGTGATGAATAACGTTCTGCTGTTGGTTTGTGGACTTCTGCTGGGAGATGATCAGCACCTAACCATCTTGTATCTAACATTGTGTTCGTATGCTTAGGAACAGGAAGTTCAATTGGAAACTGTGCATCATGTTTGACTGGTCGATAATAATGATTCATTGGACTAAAATGATCTTGAGGTACATTTTGTGGCGTGTACAATGAACTGACTTCCGGTGATGGCAAAAATTCCTTTTCAGATGGTTTTTCATTTGTAATGTCGTTATGAACGTGAGCTGATTTTGCATCTTGATCTTGTTTGGCCTTTGTTCGAAGATTTCCATTTAAGTCGTTGAGATTTTTGAAAGCTTGCGTCTTGCTGTTGATAATTGCTTGCTTCACTTTATCGTTAATTGTTATTCCAACATTAGTTGATGAGATTTTAGCATCTTGAGATTTGCTGAGATTATGAAAAAGGCATTTGAAATTCATGTTGTTAATGAGGTGATCAAAAGTTAATAAAACTTACGAGAGATCTTTTAATGATTTGCTGGAAGCTTCCGAACTATAATTAACTTTCGTAATTAAATTTGTGACGGGATCTAAACGAGTTGTGACAGTTGAAGATGTTGTGGATTCTGATTTTTCATCACTGAAGTTGTCTTTTGTCATATTTTTCGTTTTGCCTTCTTGAGTTGAACTTTCTTTGTCAATATTTTGAGATATCTCAGAAACCGTCGCATTTTGAATTTCTAGTCCGATTTCTAAGGGCTTCTCACTAACTTCAATAGAATTTACATTTATTAACAAAATAACTGCGATAAGCGCATATAATCCAAAGTTTTGATACATTTTATTTAATTGTCTTAACTTTTTTTCATTAATTTTTCTTTCAACTTCTTTTATTCATTTTTATTTGCCTAAAGAAATTTTTTAAAGTCGCTTCTTTACGCTTAGAAAATCAAAAACAAACTGAAAATATTGTCTCGCAGTTTATTTCTTTTATAACATCATTACATTTAAAGTTGAATAAATATTGTTATTATCTAAGACGAAGAATCACAATTGTTAAATAACGAAGCATTCACTGCCTTACATATGAACTTATTCAGTGTCAAACATAACACTGCAAATATTTTGATTGACAATTCTAAAATTAAATTGAAACAGATGAAAATTCGCAAGGTTTTGAAGGTGGAGGATTTGTTGAATAAAATTGATTAAAATAATGGGAAGTTGGGCTTCTACACTCCGCGAAGACCGTATAAAACCACTCGTTTTTCTTGTATAATTAAAGCAAAAAGAGTGATATGGAAAATTCTTGTATACAAGATTTTTCTGAAGGCTTAATCTCACCTTTTCAGTGAAAAAAATATGAACTTTATCTGAAAGAAAAAAAGATATCGAAAAAAGTTTGTTTTTGGCTGTGCATTCCGTATAAAACCACGACACATTTAATTTGATTTTAATACTTTTTCTTTTTAATTAAATATATTTTTGTACTTTATAATGCATAATGACTCTAATTACATATTTTTCAATTAAAATAATATAT